TTCTAGACCGGCCTATATTGATTAACTGAAGTATCTGGAGCATGGCGACGTTTTGCCATGGCATGGGCGACAAGCACAGCTATCCGTCTACGGGTATGTGCCAGCGGACGGATAAATCTATTCCTGGGGTGGGCTGTTGCCATGTCAACTCGGGGTCATGGGAACCGATCGCGTGTGAGGGGAGAGTCGTCTGGTCTAGCTATATCCTGCGCTCAATTGAAAGTGGACTGCACTTTTCATCATGTCCCACTGAAACATGATTCATGGCATGGCCGATGCATGTCTATGCTAAATGCAACACAGGTATTTACAGACAATAGAAAAACCCTTTCAGGCCAGTGGTCAGCGCCTCAGGATTCCTCTTTACTTGGAATTTGCTCAAGAGCTGGAGCCAGAATGACCATACCCCCGACTCGTGCGCTGGTCGCCGTTCTTCACTCTTTCCTGAACTACGCCCTCACACTATTCTACAACATGCAAAGTATGTCGTTTTGTTGTGGATATGACTGGTTTTGCTGACATGACGTTACAGTATGGAAATTACTGCTGGCAGTCTTTTCCATTGTTCCTATCGCTTGCGCACTTCCCATCGACCGCCGCCCCCGCAATGTCATGGTCGAGCACGCATCCAGTACTAGTGTGGAAACAGACTTAAATACCGGCGGCCCTCTTCATGATGCTCTTCCACCCTCTTTAGACGACGATGACTTATTCCTGGATGAAGATGACGTGTTCATGGATGACGATGACTTGATCCTGGAGATCCGCGACCCAACTTGCTTCGTGTGTAAGAGCGCCGGACCTGGCGCTCATGGTGGGAAAGTCTCCAGGCACGTAGTCTGTGACACAGGTCGCGTCCATGTCGCACATAGTGGCTGTGCCAACTCCCTAAGGAACCGAAGGTGTCCTGATCCCGTTGGAGAATGCACTGGCACTCCCAGGCGGAAACCCAAACCGGTGGTACCTGTTGACCCAAACGAACGTTGCTTCGTGTGTAAGAAAGTCGGAGGCGGGGAACACGGCGGGCTAGTCAACGTAGCGTTTGGGTGTGACAGAAATGGCCGACATATGGTACATGGTTACTGTTTCCCTCGGCCCAGTCGAAGCAAAAACAAAAAGGTCCCGAAGTGTGAAGATGCCAACTGCCCGGGCAACCGCGTTTTCATGAAGGCCCATGCCGTGCGCGCTGCATTACCCCAGGCAGGTCCGTCGATGAGGGCCGTCACCCCGAATCTTCCCAATCCAAACCTGGGAGAGGCGCGGGACCAAACATCCTCGGGCACCCATCACAGTTCGAACCCTCCGGGCCAGTTGCAGGTGCCTTGGCAGGACCCTGAGAGAAGCGCGCCATCATTCCCGTCCTCCCAATCGTCAGCCTATTCTTTAACCCACCCCTATCAACCCATGCAACAGACCTACCCTAACCCCCCCAACCACGGCTTCAACGCAAACCCGGGCCCGCAATATCCACACCCGAATGTGTCTCCGTCCATGCCTCTTGGTGTGTACGAGGCACCGCCGCAACAATACGGGATGCACCAGACCTACCGTAACACCGCCAACGACGGCTTGAACGCAAACCCGGGCCCGCAATATCCACATGGCCTGAGCGCGGCCCAATTGCACGGGGGTCCGGAATTTCAGGTGGGTGGGAGCAGCATGCAACAACCAAACCCGTCCTCCTCCCATCGTTTACCCTCGTATGATTCCCTTTCCGGAAAATGCCTTGTTTGTAGCAAGGAGACGAAAGAACTGTCCTTATGCCCTAATGGGGAGGGACACTATGTCCACCACGTTTGTGCGAATTATTGGAGGAGCATCGATCCGGAGCGTTGCCCAGCTGGAGGATACTGCAAAGAAGCCGCCCAAATCGACATGGACTGACCGCGGCCCAATGTAGGGTTAGGGTTAGGGTTAGGGTTAGGGTTAGGGTTAGGGTTAGGGTTTAGGGTTAGGGTTAGGGTTAGGGTTAGGGTTAGGGTTAGGGTTAGGGTTAGGGTTAGGGTTAGGGTTAGGGTTAGGGTTAGGGT